AAAAAAAAAAAAAGAGTGGTGTAAAGGTTGGGGTGGACCTGTAGCCACTGCGATGGTAATGGGAGGCAGGTATTCCAGTCCCTTGCAGCAATACACAAAATTCATCTTCAAAAATGTTTCGGTACCTATTTTTACTCGGTCGAAGAAGCTTCCTGAAAATTTAATGATTGAGAAAACGGCATTCATTTAGAATACTGCACTTGACTAAAATATTTTAGTAGAAAAGTATTGCCATCAAATGAGTATTCAAGCATCAGCTCCTTATAGCAGAAAACTTATTTCTAAAAAAAAAAAAAAAAAGTTTGGAACTTTAGGAGATTAGTGAAAAAATCTATGAAATTACGGGATTCAGCTAAATAGTTTTTTGCTGCGATACATAGCTGACGAACAAATCTAAGACAATTTGGGAAGGGCGCTGGAATTTGAAGCACTCGTTTGGCATCAAATTGGTAATATGTAAATACCTTAAAGTAGTGGTTCTCATAGGGACCGATAATGGATGCTAAATGTATGGTAAATTTTTACTGGAATAAAGAAGTTAATCTAAGAAAAAAATAAAATTTTTACTACAGGCAACTTTCTTCTCAGTACCACACCAAATCAGAAGTAATCTGTCCAGTAAGTACACAGAAGCCAAAGATCCTCCATATGTATCATTACGGTACACGCAGTGATGTTACTTAAAACCCAGTTAATCCACATAAACTGGCAAAAGCAACTTTTTTGAGCATTAAATGACAAATAAATATCATTGCTTCGTTACGGTGTTATTTGGCTGCTATAGTGCTGTATTGAATAGGACGTTTGGTTTTTCGACGAAAACATTATTTTAAAGCGGGAAATATTACAGAAAATTTTTCTGACTACAAACAGCTTCAGTGGTGGCCCGAAAGTGTTCGGTCACCTTGTCATTCATTTTTGACTCATTAATGCAGTCCTGTTGGTGCAAATGTAGCGTATGACTAGTTGCTGTTTGGGAGGCATTATCTTCCGATAATGCATTTTTTCGTTAGAGTTGCGTTGACAACTTTTTGTTTATGTGTAAAGAAAAATTAATTTTACTACTCTACTTTTTTCTGAATTAGGCAAGTTTTAATGTTATAGGATTGTATTTAATCTTTTGCTTGCAGTAATTCATCTTTTTATTTTGTTTTAATTTTGAGATGTGTCTTTAACAGTGCTGTTGTAAATAGTAATTTTTTTTGGAAGTATCATAAGATATATATATTTTTTAAATTTCTATCAATGAGTTGTTTTTTGCGCATCTACCGGCGAAGGAAGCGTGGTCTTTATGTGCTTTTGATGAATAAGTTTTGCTCTTTTCAGCCGTTTAATTCCTTTCTTAGATTCGCTGTAATTCTTTTATTCATAAGTCGTCCGTTGTTATAATCTTCATTTTTTGCAAGGTTAGAACAAGGTTGGATTCACTAAAGAATTTGGCTGCTGTCTTCGCCCTACTTCTCGTTTTTCTTTTCCGTTGTACCGCTTCAGGTACCCTTCTTGTACCCTTCTTTTATATACCACTACTGTCGTCGTTTTTGAAAGTTTAATAAAACAGTTTGCTCTTTTCTTCAGCGTACTCTTTTTTTCGTGGTTTGAAAATTAGACTGTAGAAATTGCGAAATGTCAGCGGGGCAGAAAGGAGAGGTGAATTCGAAGGTAAAGTTGGAAGCTGCACCTTCAGATGATGCGGTGGAAGGAAATCCAAAAGCGTTTTTTCGGTTGAAAGATGAGGAGTTGGATTCTGAGAATGTAGACGAGGAGGAACAGGAACAAGAGCAGGAAGACGAACACGTGGAAGATGAAGGTGAAGAAGGTTAACGGTTTTTTCTTTTTATAGTGACTTCATCTTTTATTCGGGATTTTTAATGTTTTCTGGGTAAATCAAGCATTTTGGTTTATAAAAATGTTATGTAAGATGTGCTTAAAACTAGTTTGAGTTTCTCATGATACTGCTGCTTTTATATTAGTTCTTATATTGGATGTACAAATGTTTAGTGTCAAATCAAGATCAGTTTGAAAAGGATTCTTACAAACGCTTTGAAATGTTGTTGAAGAAAACAGAAAACTTTTCGCACTGTCTCAGTGCCGGAGATATCGCCGCTATGGCTCGTATGTTTACATCAGATAGTTGCTTGCC